TAATTCTTCTGTGAGTGTGTATGTCACTGAACTTCTCTTAAACGACTGGACCGATTTTGATGAAATTTTTTGTGTGTGTTTTTTCAAGTGTTTTTTCAAGGGGATCTGAGAATGGTTTAGATTCACAATTTTGTCCGCTGGACAACCCCTATTTTTTTAGGGCGGTACGAAGTTCGCTGGGTCAGCTAGTAACAATATAAAAATCAAGCGAATGAATCACAAATATGAAGTACATGATAATTTTAGCTTCCTGATCTTCTTCTTCTTTATCACACACTTGTTCGGGTTGTAGTAGCGGACTGTAGATAGGATTGGTTGATTCATCAGGAGCACCCGCTGCTACAGGTGCGGCGAGCCAGGGCACATTGCCCGACTCTGCACCGCGAGTGCTCCTCGCTGACCTGTCTGTTCAGACCAGGTGTCCGGCGGATCATAGGCAATAGGTAACCACCCAAGGTGGTTCGGGGACGACCAGGGCTTGGTAGTCATTTATTGGGCGAGTGACAGGCCGCACTGCACCCTCCTCGCCAGAGGGGCGGGATTCGTGGCCGTGGAGTGGGGGTCCACGGTCACGATAGGCTGTTATATCTCCCCGAACTGCGGCCTCGCCGCATTCGAAGTATTCCTGGATGGGCTGGCGAACTGCGTCCGCGGTTGCACCCCCCGTCCGGTTCTCGTACTGGGTGACTTCAACGCCCACTCGAGAGAGTGGGGTGACAAACGGGACGACGTAAGAGGAGAGACACTCCTGGAGTGTGCGGCGGGACTGAACCTTCGGCTTCTAAACCAAGGTTCAGTCAGCACCTGCGTGCGGTGGCAGGGGGAGTCGATCGTCGACCTGTCGTGGGCCACTCCCGCTGCGTACCGCATGGTGTCGGGTTGGAGGGTCGCGGAGGAGTTGGCCACACTGTCCGACCACCGTCACATATATATATATATATGCGATGTGTCCCTCCGCCGCCCTTCCCGTTCACCCCAGGAGGACAGCCGTCCGCGACGCTGGTCCATCAAGCGGCTGGACCGAGACATGGCCCTTGCCGCCGCACACGTCGCGGACTGGTCGGAGGAGGAACGGATCCTGCCCGATCTCGAGGCGCAAGCGCGAGCGGCCTGGTTCGGGGAAATAATGACGTCGATCTGCGACGTCTCTATGCCCCGAGTCAGGCCGCCCCGGCGGAGCTCTGCATACTGGTGGAATGAGGAAATTACTGCGATCCTAAGCCGCGCGACGTCAGTACCTCAGGGCCCGCAGAAGAAGGCAAGCCTCAGTCGAAGAAGTCCTGAGTGCCAGAAGGGCATACGGAGCCGCTGCCAAGGCGATCAGCATCGCCATCGCTGACGCCAAGGCGGGGTCCTGGAACGAGCTCCTGGAGGGACTGGAAAGAAATCCATGGGGGCGCCCGTGCAAAATAGTACTGGGCAAGCTCCAACCGTGGGTCCCTCCTCTGACGGAAACCCTGGACCCCGATTTCGCGGGAAGAGTGGTGGATACGCTCTTCCCGAGGGTCCAAGACAGTCCCTCCGAAGCGCCGCCGCCCGCTCTGTGGTCGGACGACCTAGGGGTGACGGAGAGCGAGCTAGCCGGAGTCGTGTCGCGGCTCTCGGCCCGCAACACCGCACCGGGCCCAGATGGGGTCCCGGGTAAGGTGTTGGCGCTGGCGCTAAGGGCCTTGGGGAACAAAGTGAGGCAGCTCTTTACAAACTGCCTCAGAGAGGGTGTGTTCCCCATCGACTGGAAGTCGGCCAGGCTGGTGCTGCTGAGGAAGGAGGGAAGGACCGAAGACGTTCGGTCATCGTTCCGTCCGATCTGCTTGCTGAACGAGGCGGGGAAACTTTTCGAACGGGTTATCTCCGCCCGTATCAGCGAGCACCTGTCGCTCGTGGGTCCCGACTTGTCGGACTGCCAATTTGGATTCCGGCAGGGGCGATCGACGCTGGACGCTATCCAACGCGTCCGGTCGCTGTCAGAGTCCGCAGTCCGATCGAGGGGGGTGGTTCTGGCGGTGTCCCTGGACATCGTCAACGCCTTTGGCCCTCCCCTGGCAGTCCATCAGGGAAGCACTCGAATACCACGAGTTGCCCCCCTACCTGCGGGCCGTGGTTGGGGACTACTTGCGCGACAGGACAATCCGAGTGGTGGGAAGGAACGGGACGGAAACGACGAGGGGGGTCGAGTGCGGCGTTCCACAGGGACCCCTTTTATGGAACCTCGTATACTACGCGGTCCTTCGCACCAGCCTTCCTCGCGACGTGAGTGTCGTCTGTTACGCCGACGACACTCTCGTCGTGACGACGGGGGACGACTTTGGGCAAACGCTTAGGCTTGCCGAGATGGGGGTGGCATGTGTCGTGGGGCAATCCGCCGGCTGGGTCTAGAAATAGCGCCTCACAAAACTGAGGCGCTATGGTTCCACGGCCTTTCAAGGCGACGGGAACCACCCAGCTGCCGGATACGGGTAGGTGACGCAGAGGTTCAGGTGGGGCCAAATATCAAGTACCTTGGTCTCACCTTGGACAGCAGGTGGAGCTTCGAAGAGCACTTCGTGCGGTTGGTCCCCCGAGTCAAAAGGGTAGCGGGTGCCTTACAGCGCCTGCTGCCCAACCTCGGCGGACCGAGGGACGGCGTTCGCCGCCTGTACGCGGGCGTCGTACGGTCCGTGGCCTTGTATGGGGCCCCCGTGTGGTCGCGAGACTGCACGAGGTCCTCCCGCTGCAGAGCTCTTCTCCGGAGCATGCAGCGGACAATGGCTATACGGATCGTGTGGGGCTACCGCACAATCTCGTACGAGGCGGCGACGGTTCTTGGGAGCTCCCCCCCTTTCGAAATCCTGGCCGACATGTACGCGGTGATGTATAACTCGCCACGACATGTCGACCGGGGGGGAGACAGGCGGAGCTCCCCAGAACCCGTGTTTGGAATGCACAGGCGGGAGTTGCACCGACGGGCTGAGAGGGATTGGCGCGCACAGCTAGAGTTGGGGGGCTGCGCGTCAACGCGCCGTCGGTGCTATACTCCCGCACTTCGAAGCTTGGCTCCATGGGAAGGAGGAAGTCACCTACCGCTTGACTCAGGTACTCACCGGACATGGTTGTTTTGGTGAGTATCTGAGTCGAATAGGGAGGGAGGACACAGCACGATGTCACCACTGCGCATCCGAACTAGACTCGGCCCAGCATACGCTGGCGGATTGTCCCGCTTGGGACTCCGAACGCCGAGTCTTGGTCGGAGAAATCGGGCAGGATCTGTCTCCGCCAGCATTGATTGCGACAATGCTGGCGGATGAGGGAGGTTGGAAGGCTGCGGTCTCCTTCTGTGAAGCGGTGATGCTCCAGAAAGAGGCCGCCGAGCGGGATCGGGAGAGGGCCAATCCCGCTCGAAGAAGGCGGCGTCGGGCCAGATAATGTCCTGATGTGCCGCCGCGGGTCGCTGGTGAGCACGACGGAGCTCATGGAAGTGACCTGGGAGGGACGATAACCCCGCATGGCCGGGGGGTGTCGTCGTAGGAGGGTGGATGGGGGAGGTTGCGAACACTCCCCCGAGAAGAACTCCCCTGGAGGAAGCAGGGGAACAAAGGCTGCGGGTCCTCAGATGCGATACTCGATCCTGAGGCCCCGTACAATGCCTGATGGCGGCCATCGCTGGGGTTTTAGTGGGTAGGCCTCCCCCTTCTGGGGAGGAGAGCCCCACATAACCACCATGTGGTATGCAATTTAATGCATTTCCCCAGCGTGCCAAAAAAAAAAGGTTGGTTGATTGATAACACAAACACTGTAAGCACTGAAACACTTATAATCTGTTTATGACTTACTATTATGTAGTTAAAATATATACATTTGGAAACACGTCCGTATGTTATGGTGGCCGGTAATGGAAAGAGAGACTGAGCGAGAGGCGCATCTGGTCAACTAGTGCTGTACACAATATTTAGTAGGAATAGGGAACATTCCAACAATACTGCAAAAAAGTATGGCACGGTGGCGCCGGTGTGCGGCGTACAATGCACTTACTACCTATATGCACTAGCTGCGCGAGCCTTAGTTAGAACATACACCAATGCTCTAAGACGAGCCCTTTATTCCTATTGTTTCGGTTGATCAATTTTGTTAACCGAACTAATTGGATTTTTCTTAACATTAGTTATGACAAGAATTTAGCTAAGCTAAGTTAATATAGTTGTGATTATTACTTTCAATGATAATATAAATTTAAACAAAAGTATCATAAACTACACATAACTAGATATATTTGGAAGCGCTGAAGTCCACAACTGTTCATTTCCAGGGATCTTTTATTCCACGGACAATAAAATTATAAATGAGCTCCTCTTCACGATGTGTCTAGTAGTACTGTAAAATAGTCCTCTATAAGAGAGGTTTAAATAGGGTGTTACGCGAAAGGGAGACGACGGTGACCACTTAACATCAGTTGGCCCGTCCGCTCATCTGCCTTCGAAGATAATAAAAAACAAACTATTGATTTAATTTGTATATATATTAACTAGCTAAGTTATTCACAGAAGTACTGACATGTAAATTTCCCATTAGTTCAGTCAAAAACTGGCAAAGTTATTCACAGAGCTAGTGGGAAGAAATATCCAATTAGTTCGGTTAACATAACTGATCAAATGAGCTACTAAGCTCCTCAGCGCAAACAGTTTTTCTTTATAAATAAAAAGATATCCGAATAGTAAAAAATAAGTTATCACAATTATTTTTTTGTATTCGTCTTGTTATAATGATAGCTGATGCAGTACGTGGATACCTATATAACTTTAACGAGTTAAATACAAAAACGGGAAAACCCTGACTTTAAACATTTTCTTGAAAACAACAGTTACACGACATTATTTCAGAAACGTACTCCAACCAATCTAAAATAGGTTCACCAAAAAAAAATCTATTAAAAAGCCCATTTCCGAATGAATTAAACAAAAAATTTGCAGATCGTATTGTATGTTGTTGTGTATAAAGGAGAGAGATACGTGAGCGTGCCTTTAGTGCGAACCGGTGCCCCTGGCCGTCCGGACGACTGTACGGGGCTTTACAAATAAGGATTTAAACAACACACGTAAGTCTATTTATCTTTCACACGCTGTTACTACACACGGTTTTAATAGAGCAAAGTTCATTGTAACTGAAACTTTCAACTTACATTGAATGTTAAAGAAACTTTTGCAGATAATGTTTGCAAAAAAATATAAGCTCTACCTAAAGTAATCATTTTTATTCGATATATTTATATTCGATGATAAATTTTCATGAAAGTGTCATATTAATAAAAAAACTTCACAAAAAACGAAAAGATAAGTGCACAGACACAATAACTTATCTTAATTTGTTGTTTCTATATTGTGTAGATCCTATGTATACATGGAGTGCATTTATATTTATTTTCTCTATTTATGACAGTTGTATGTACGTAATAGGAAATAAATCAGTATCCTTATTAGTGCAATTTTATCTGCAATTACGAAGATATCACACACTTTCGTAACGATAGGCACAATAACATAAAAATAACATTTGCGTAATGTTCTTTTTTTTTAAGTTACGAAATATTATTATTTAAATACAAGGAAGTGTTTTCACAAATATGACACTCCATTTTAATATAGGGAAAGTAATCCTAATCGGCATGATTGAAAGTAAGTATTGGTTAGTTGTATTTGTAAAAAGTAGAGCAGTACATTTTTTGAAACAGTCAAGATAACTGAATCTGACCTTAAATTTTCATAATACTATAAAATACATAAACATATATAATAATTTTTTTCGAAACGTGAGATAAATAAAACCTTACAATTACTATAATTTTCTAATTAACGGTCCCCGATGTGGACGGTAGAACCAAGTTAAACCCATTCGAATCTATGACCAGTTTTTGTCGTACAAAGTTCCCGCTAACTAATTTAGAAGTGCAAGAAAAAAAAACAAGTGAGAGATCATACGCAGCCTGCAATTTCACGGTCACTTGACTAGCAATCACTAAAATTTGCATTTAACGTGCAATTTATTCTTAAATAGTTTGAGCCAAAAAAAAACTTACTTGCCTACAGTAAATCTGTTTTATAACTTGCTCGTTAAGTTATGGTATACTTTTCTGTAAAAGTTATACGATTTTTCATAAGTTACGCCACTGCCAATCTTTGCTTTCAAATAGAACGTCTATCCAGTTAATAATTTATTATTGTGATGATCATCTTAAAGCTTAACTACTATTCGTACAAAACTGTAGCTATGATTTATTGTTGATTGAATTCAATCGAGTTCAATTTCTATTTTCCATTAGGTGAGCAGATCAAATATTTTCAGCGCCATATTTCTATTAATATATATATATAAAACATAATATTATCGATAAAAAATAAGAATTTTAAGTGGAATCGGGCTTTATATGAAAGCATTTTTTTAATATTTTATAGTATATTTTTTATTAAATGATCCTTATAAAATTGTAGCCGTTTTCTGCATATATAAAATAAAGTATTACTGATGTTTTGTTAAAGATAAAAATGTATGGAAATTACCGACTAAGAAATGAAAGTGCTATGCTCTGTTTGAGCTAAGCTTGACCTTCCTTGAATTGATTGAAATGTTTTTCTAAAAATAGATTCTTTTACTGGTAAATGGATATGAGAATTCTCTTCGCTCAGCTATTAAGCAAAAATATATTGTGTCAAACGATTCAAATGAACTATATTGTATATTTATTACTGTTTGTAAACACGATGCATGATAATCTTAAAATTTCCTAGAAAAAAATACAGTCATTCCAGGCATCAGACAAAATGGTACAGTATCTGGACCGAGTGGATTCTTTCCCCAGTATTCTTTAAGATTTTCTAAATCTAGCAGATAAATGCTTAAAATAAAAGTTGAATAAAGTTCTAGTAAATACTGAACCATACAAAAATATTCAAAATACTTAGTTTTATCAAGACTGAAATTAACAGGATAACGATGAGTTTTGAGCTATAAATCAATAGGTAGGGTACTCAGACGCTTTTTGCTCAAGCTAGTATAAAATTTGAGTCGAATGGTACGAAACCCTTCGTATGAGCGTTTAATTAGCATTTTTCTCTGCTTGTATTACTTACAAGATTAAGACACGCTCATAGTATAATGAGGATTTTCTAATCTGTTTTCTACAGTATTTTTTAAATATTTTATTTTAACTACTTATTTTAATAGCACGTATATTATTGCGAAAGGATTGACGAGTTTTTTGATGGATATCGCGTCAATTAATTCTGAGTTAGAAGCTTTATGAGCCACAGAAACCAATTTTCAAACTTTAATATAGCTTTAGCATTGATCATCTATATTCAAAATATTTTTTAAAAGTTATAGTGCTTTCATTTTTGGCGGTCTTAGTTACACAAAAATGATTTTTGATAGTGTAACTTAAGGAGAATATTTTGTTCGGTTTTTTTATTAACGCCGTCCATAATAGTAAAAAATAGTTTATAAATAAAAAATCTTCAAGTGTTAAATAACTTCCACAATGACTATTTCAATATTGCGCAATGACGATCCGTCATAAAGGCAAAAAATATTTACTATTTTATATTTTCTTATCCTATAAATCCTTATATGCATACATACCTGATTATCAGTCTAGTAATAGTCTCTAATGCTGGGGTCAGTGCTTTTTATATATGCTATAGTCAGTATTCTTGCAATTTTATTAATAAAATAAAAAATCCACCCCAAAAACTAAACCAAAAATTCGAATACAAGTTCAAAAACGTCATTAGAGTCAGGTGACCGCTCCGCAGGACACTTTTAAATCGAAATACTTTGACAGGCAGAGGCAAATATCAAAACTTTTTTGAATTTTTAGTGTGTTATTGACATAACTAGTCGTATTTAACTAAGTGAAATTTTTATTACATCGCCTCAAACTATTGCGTTTATCTATAGCAAGTCGCATTACATTTTTAATTGTTATTATATATAGGTGATTCAGTGGTAGAAAGCTTGCCTGCTATGCGGGCGGATTGGGTTCCAATTCGAAGGACTTTGTATTATGAATGATTTTAAAAGTTTAAATCACACAATTTTTTTAAAGCATGTAACTGCTAGATGTTTAAATCTATGCTATGCGTAATGGTCAATGGATTCGCCCGGATAGCGAAGGGTGCTGGTTCGATTCCCGCCTATTGGATTCGTGTGGTCCGAGTGGATTTTTTCTAGCAATATTTTCTTCAGATTTAAACATCTAGCAGTTACATGCTTAAAAAATAAAAAAATATAACCATAATTGCTGTTTCTTCTTTTAAATGTTTATTACTTGTAAAGGTATTCATTTGACATTGTGGGTTACCTATAATGCAAAGAGATGGCGCTGCCTTGCAGCTTAAGAAAGGCTAGAGAGAATTGGACACGGTGATCAGGGCCGCGGTAGCATAATGGTCAGTGCACTCGCCCATAAAGCGAAGGGTGCGGGTTGGAGTCCCGTCTGCTGCCTGGTCCCCGTGGATTTTTTTCTCACAGAATTGACTTATTATTATTTATTATCAATTTAATATGACATTGAATAAGAAGAACGTGCTATTATCTTAGAATTGCGATCTTTAACTGCGTTAGAAATAAATCGAGTTAGAAACAAATTCTACTTAATCTAAGTATAACATTGCGTGTCATATGATCGTGACTTTCACACAAGGAAGAAAATCAAATTTAAAATTCATTATAGTTAAGTACCATGCAATGTCGATTGCATGTACTTAACTGAAATGACATTTGCAACATAATTTTCAGTGTATATTTCTTTTGACGCAATAATTAATATTGAAATAATAAAGGAAAAAAAATATAGACAAGAATAAAAACTTTCTACATAAAGCATCTACAGTTATTTTAAGGGTCCCGTACCTCAATCGGCAAAACCAGAATCTCTGTCTATCCCAGTCAATTTACTCAAAATCTACTAGAACGATCAAGTTAAATAAATTTCAACTTGATACATGTATGTTTGTGCCCCAAAAACGAGAGAATAAAATAAATAAATTTGTCAAAATGGGAAATACTATATAAATATACTATTATAAATAATAAATAGATAGCGAATAAGAACAAAAAATGCCAACTATATCGTGTTATATATCAAATGAAAGGGCTCAATGAAGTGAAGATTTTAAACATTTTTTTTTAACAAATGTAAAATGAATATTACAAAACAAAAAAAAATCCCATATAAATTTAAAACTGCGTCTAAAAATAAAAAATATGGAATGCAGCTCTTTGCTTGTAGATTACAGGGAAACCTTTTCACGCGTGTTGAACTTGCAATTGACGGTTTTTTCAACAGTTTTTACATCACACAGTACAGAACCCTTCGTGTGTGAAGTTTAGCGTTTCTTCTCACTGCCACTATCATGTCGAGACTTTCTGAGACCGGCTATACACGGACTTCTCGAGCAGTTAGCCAGTGATCAACATATACAGACTGCACGAGCAGTCAGAGTAAACAGCTTACAACTGGCATTTCACCGCTAGCAGATTGTATTTCACTATGCAGTCGCAGCTTAAAGCTGTCCATCCCGACTGCTTCAAGCTGCCCGTGCATAGCCACTCTATGAGATAATTCCAACATTTATTAAATGAATTACCGACTTCTTCTAACTTAACAACGAACAGAGTTAGCCTTTGTCTCAGTCACAAAAAAAATACGTAGGCGTTTTGCGATGGTTTAGCTAGAAATGTCAGAAATTGTAAATTGGTTACAACTAGACCCACTCATCTATTCCACGGTCTATATAAAATGTAAAAACTTTATGTTATATATCGAGTAAGTCTTAATAAGTTTTTTTGTTATAAGGTGCAGTACATGACCCTACCTTGTCTGATATATTAAGTAAAGTGAAGCCCAGTTACGAAGATATATTTTTCTTCGCCATACCCCCATTGGCGTAGTTAGGGACATTCCTAGGGGGGCGGGACTTGATTTAAGGTAAAACGTGATAAAAAAACTGTGCCAATCCGGCCAGTCTCATCATGAAGACCTAAACCTAATTATTATCTACTTATGTAGCTGTGGCACCTTCCTCATTTACAAAAACACAT